GCCAGGAGTAATTCCTGAGTGCATGATCCAGGAGTAACCCTGTGCATTGCTGGGTGTGACCCCAAAAGAAAAATAAATTAAAAAAAATAAAAAGAAGTCTGAGGGAGAAAGATACTCTACAGAAAGGGGATTGGATAGTACAGCAGGTAGGGCGTTTGCCTTGCATGTGGCTGACCCAGGTTTGATCCCTGGCATCCCATATGGTCCCCTGAGCACCTGCAGGAGTATTTCCTGAGTGCAAAACCAGGAGTAACCCCTAAGCATTGTAGGGTGTGACCCAAAAGCCAAAAAAAAAAAAAAGGAAAAAGAAAAATGCTGTTCTGGGGTGTTGGATAGCATTGGGTTGTCCTTGCTCCTCTGGAAGGTTTATCGGGTATTGAGATACTCCCACAACAGTGCCCCTGAGGCAACCCAGTTCCATCAAGCACTAATAATCCTATATTGTTTTTCTTTCCTTTATGTCATTTGTCATTTGCATGGCTTAGCAATGTTCTTTTTGTATAGACACAGGAAGATAGTTGATGCTATGCTTTGTCACATGGGAGTTAATTGACGCCAAAAAATCTCTACTCCTGGGCATCCATCATACTTACCTGACTTAAGCCTCAGTTGTCCTTACTTCCTAACACCGCCAAAAGGAGGGTCCTGACGAAGGGATTGGTTGGACCCAGGGCAAGCTGTAAGCTACCTTGGCATTAAAAGGGAACAAGTTAAGCACCATATGTATAGTAAGTTAAGAGCATGGTTAAAGACAAACTCTGTCATGACCCAAAAAGAAGTAACTGAATAAGGACCCTACTGGGGTTAGGAAAGAGTAACCTGCCCTGAGGACTCTAGTCTGGGATATATAGCGAGATGTCCTCTGGAAGAGCCAACCTTCCTTATTTTTTAAAAATTTTATTTATTTTGCTTTTTGGGTGACACCTGGCGATGCACAGGGGTTCCTCCTGGCTCTGCACTCTGGAATGACTCCTGGCGGTGCTCAGGGGACCATATGGGATGCTGGGAATCGAACCCGGGTCGGCTGCGTGCAAGGCAAATGCCCTACCTGCTGTGCTATTGCTCCAGCCCCAGGAAGAGCCAATCTTTAAGCTTAATATATCTCTTACCGTGTCCATACAAAATGACTAGAAATATTACAAGAAGTAAATTTACTATGATTGTTTAAATGGCTTACTAGCTGAGGGAAGGAGAAAGCAATACACCCTTGATTCTGGAATCCAGCCCTTGAGCAGATCTCCTAGTAATCTGGAATACTGAGCCCTCAGATGAGATCTAGTCCTTGAGTCAATCTCCTAGGACTTCCCCCGAAGGAGTGGCTTTACCTCTGTTTGCTGTTAGGACAATGTTCAACCTCACATACGTGTACCCCCCCCCTTCATGATTTCTAGATAACTATGCTGTAAGGGGCTGAAGTGATAGCACAGCGGTAGGGCGTTTGCCTTGTGTGCAGCCAGCCCGGCTGAGCCGGGTTTGATTCCTCCGCCCCTCTCAGAGAGCCCGGCAAGCTATCGAGAATATCTCACTGCCATGGCAAAGCCTGGCAAGCTCCCCGTGACGTATTCGATATGCCAAACACAGTAACAAGACTCAAAATGGAGAGGTTACTGGGTCTGCTCCTGCAAATTGATGAACAACAGGAGGACAGTGTTTGTTTGTTGTTTTTATGCTGTAAGGGGAAAGAGGGGAGGACGACTTTGAGGTCTACAAAGGAGAATAGGATGATGGAGCTATGATTATTGGGACTATAACCAAAATGACAACTACAACTGTGCAGTAAGGGGAGAGATCAGACAACTCGGGGGGGAGAGAAATAAACCGACTACTGACCAGTCTGGGACCCGGTTTCTCCATTCCCCCAGTCCTTTTTCTGTCACTGTGGACTGGCGCCTGGGGAGGCGGCTCTTGGCCACTGAATGCTCGAGTCCTGCGCCCCCATACTTCTTTGAAACTCACACTGGGGCCAGAGTGACAGTACAGTGGGTAAGGCTTTTTTTTGCCTTGTAATCCGCTGACGGGTTGGATCCCTAGCGTCCCACTTGGTCCCCTGAGCCCCTCCAGGAGTAATTCACAGAGCCAGGAGGAAGCCCTGAGCATGGCCAGGTGCGCTGTCTGTGCAATTCAAATTCTTATATTGTATGTTGCAATGGTGACAAGTCATTGGCCTTTGGGCCCTCTGTCTTTTTCTGAGCATGCCACCTGAAGTCCTGGATTGTGTCACATTCTGAACTGCTGGCCTTCTGTACAGTGTGAAACCTCAGGGATGACCTGGCCCTGATGGTGACATCTAGTTTCTTGCCAGCCCAAATTGAAAATCCGCAGGAAGGTTTTCAAATTATCTTGAAATTTGGGGGAGAAGCAGAAGAGGAGGGCAAAGAAATCAGAACGGGTCCTCGTTAGGTAGGATTAAGTAAAATTGTCTTTACTTTTTTAACCTCTGGCCTAATCACTCTGGAAATAAAAAAAAAAAACTGCTCAAGGGCTTGGCGAGGCATAGAGGTAGCTGGAAAGAGTTTCTGGGTAAGTTACGATAGCTGAAGCAGAGGAAAAATAAATTTTTAAAATTTTGGTTTTTGGGTCACATCTGGTGGTACTCAGGGATCACTCCTGGTGGGCTCGGGACCACAAGGGATGCTGGGAATCAAACCCAGGTCAGCTGCATGCAAAGTCAAGCACCCTGCCTGCTGTACCTCACTCCAGCCTAAAATAATTTTTGTTTGGTTGTTTTGAGACCATATCATGCAGTGCTCAGGGCTTATTCCTGGCTCTGTACTCAGGATCACTCCTGGTGGGGATGGGGAGACCATATAGAGGTGGCCAGAATAGACCGTGGCGAGGCCTTTGCAAGGCAAATGTCTTACCTGCTATACTGTCTCCCCGTCTCCTATTTCTGTTTTTCCAAAAGCAAAAATTAGGTAATTTTATTTATTTTTTGCTTTTTTTGGGGTCACAACCGGCAATACTCAGGGGTTACTCCTGACTCTGTGCTCAGGAATTATTCCTGGCAGTGCCTGGGGGAATCATATGGGATTCCAGGGATTGAACTCTGGTCGGCCGGCCGAGTGCAAGGCAACTGCCCTACCTGCTGTGCTATTATTGCTCCAGCCCCAGGTTGTTAATTTTTTTTATTTACTTTTGGGGTCACACCCGGTGATGCACAGGGGTTACTCCTGGCTCATGCACTCAGGAATTACTCTTGGCGGTGCTTGGGGACCATATGGGATGTTGGGAATTGAACCCGGGTCAGCCGCGTGCAAGGCAAACGCCCTACCCACTGTGCTATCGCTCCAGCCCCAGATTGTTAATTTTAAAGGAACAAGAAAATGGAACGACCCAGGTAATGATGATGCCAAGTAGTAGGAGTGGTGTAGGTGGTGGTATGGAACACTTAATCTTCCACAAGCTCCACTAGGTACTCCCCAGGAGAAAAGCCCCTACCCAAAGGAAAAACAAAAAACAAAAAAAACAAAACTCAAACTTCAGTTGTGACAGCTGACGGTTTTTCTAGAGTACCATGAGGTTAAGAACGAGTCTCAGCTGGCTGGAAAGAGAAATCAACGGGCTGAGAACATGCTCTGCATGGAAGCCCAGATTCACCAGCCCCCAGATTCGCCAGGTGTGGTCCGGAAACCCAAACCAACTTTGTCCCATGACCTCACGAAAGCATTCCCAAAAAACAAAAACAGGGGCTGGAGCGATAGCACAGCGGGTAGAGCGTTTGCCTGCCACGCGGTGGACTGGGGTTCCATTCCCAGCATCCCATATGGTCCACCAAGCACCACCAGGAGTGATTCCTGAGTGCATGAGCCAGGAGTAACCCCTGTGCATCGCCGGGTGTGACCCAAAAAGAAAAAAAAAAAACAAAAACAACAAAACTTGCTTTGTATTGCTCTACCATATAGTTCAGAGAGCTTGTAAACGCAGCCTCAGGATGGGCTCCCCTAAACCCAAGGTTTAGAAACTCTGGCCAAGGCTGGGCACAGCCAGAGGCAAGGGTTTCACTGGAAGGAACTTCTCCAGCTTTTAGCTTTATTTATTATCATTATTGTTGTTTGTTTTTGGATCACACCTGGCGGTGCTCCGGGCTTACTCCTGGCGGGAGAGGGGGAGGGGGAAAATCAGGGGACCCTACGGGATGCCCGAGGACCCAACCAAGGCCAGCCGCGTGCAAAGCAAGCCCCCTACTCGCTGTACGGTCCTCCGGCGCCCCTCTTCAACTCTTAAGAGTGGTGATTACGTAGTATTAGGTTTGCCTCGGGTCAGGAATATTGGGGGAAGCTGCTGCCGGTGGCCGTGAAGTCACGGCTTCCTCTCCTTGTGAAGTCAAAATCACGAAAAAACCCCAGTGACGCTCACGTCATCTTGGCTTGAGGCTCCCCTGCGGTCCTCGGGGAGCCGAGCGGAGATCACCGATGGCCCCAGCAGGCGTGAAACACCGAAGCCTGCTCAAACTCGACCAGCAAGGGGCCGAGGCCGGTGACTCCCCAGCTCAGCCTCGGAGCTGGGTCTCCAAGCTTGAGCACCGGGCCGGGCTCGCGGGCGGACCCGGCCAGGGAGCGAGCCGAGCCTCGGCGAAGGGCCTGCTGGGAGTTGTAGTTCAGTCGTCGCGGCGGCCCGCCTAGCTCCGCCCCCTCACCCGTGGCGAATGAGTGTGCGGAGGCGCGGCAGGCGGGAGGAGCCGGAGAGCCCGGGACTACAATTCCCAAGGCAGCGTCGCCTCCCGTCTCCGGCCCCAGGTAGTCGGCGGCGCGCCGCGCGCTCCCGCGCTCCTGCGCTTGCGCACTCGCGCCGGGCGGCGGCGGCGGCGGCGGCGGGGTTGGGCCGTGCAGCGCCGCGTGCGTGTTTTCCCGCCCAGGCGCCTCCGCGCAGGGCTCGCCGCGCTCGGGGCCGCCCGACGGGCGTCTCGGCCCCGCCCTGGCCACGCTCCCCCGCGGCTCGGCCGAGCGCCCCTCCTTCCTTCTTCTGAGTCTCCCCTCGAGCCCAGGCCCCACCCGTTTCCCGCCTCCGAGGCCTGCTCGGTCCCCGCCCCAGCCCGCCCCTCGCTGCGCCCCGGCTGCTTCTGCCGTGCAAGGCTCCATGTTGTCGCCTGAGCGCGCGGTCGCGGCAGCTTCGGGAGGAGCAGGTGAGGCTCCCGATACCCCCCATCTCGCCCCCCAGCACGACCCGCGGCGTGCCCACCGCCGCTCCGCCCCGCCCCGCCGCAGCGCCTGCCGGTCCCGGGGCTGGGGGACGCGCGCCCCTCGCCGGGGACACCCCCCCCACCCTCCATCCCGGGCGCTCCCGCTGGGGTTCGGGGTGGCGCAGCCCTCCCCTCGCGGCGTGGGGGGCGGCCGCCCTCGGGGCGCGGGCCCTGCCGTCGGGGGGCCCCGCGTGGCCGTCGGACGCCTGTGGTCCGGCTAACGGGCCGAGGGAGCGGGACTGGTGGAGGCTCGGGGGGGGGGGGCGCCGAGGGCCGCGAACGACGCGTCGCCCCCCACCCCCACCCCCCCCACCCCGAGTTGGAAGCGTTTCATCCCGCGCGGCCTTGACAGCGAGCGTTTGGAAAGTTCGGGCTCAGCCCCCGCCTCTCCCCGGAAGGGAGATAGGACGTCGTGGCCTAAACCGGGCTTCTTGCATCCCCCCCCTTTTTTTTTCACTCTTCTGACGGTCTGGTACAGTACGTTGTCAGTTTTCCCTTCAAGACCCCCCTTTCCCCCTCCTCTCCTCAAAAATGTACTTCCTAAAATCCCCATCGCGAGCCCTCCAGCCTTCCCGGGCTGCATCTGTCGTACCTGGCCTTGTTTTATTTATTTATTTATTTTTTGGAGGGAGGGGGGTGGTACGTGCACTGTTTCACTTGCGAAATCCCCTGGCACGAAAAGGAAAGAGCCTTGTTGGGGCTGGAGGGCTAGTGCCGGGGGAGGCGCTTGCTTTGCGGCTCACTGACCGATTCGTGTTCGGTACCCGGCATCACCTCTGGTCCCTTGAGCTCAGAGCCCTAAGCACTGCCCAGGGTGTGGCCAGCCTCCACTTCCTTCACCCCGGCCCCCTTCCTCCACCCCTTCCCAAAAAATAAAAGTCTTGTTGGAAGGATCGCTTGATTAAGTCGGTCTCAGACCTTGCAGTGCCAAGCTGGGTGGGAGGGTCGGTGGCTCAGTGGACCGCAGACTTGGGGGTTCTGCATTTTGTATGGAGCAGTTGTGGTTCGAATGTTGTGGTAAGTATCCAGCGTTGCAGCGTACTGAAAGTCCCACCCCGGCAGCATTTCAGTCCCTCTCACCCTTCCCCCCCCACCCCCACTCCCAGCCTCCTGGAAATCTGCAAGTTTCAGGTGCTGCTCTCACGCCTGTCAAGGGAACTCTTGGATGGGAAAGGAACGCTGCCATGATGAAGCATTTGCACCGCACAAGGCGTTGTTTTATAAGCCACAGTTTACAGAGTCACTGGAGCAATCCTGAAATTCAGAGGAGCAGAGCCATGTCCAGCGGGGAGGGCACTTGCCTCGGTCTCCCACTCCCGGCAGGGCTGATCCCTGAGCGGAGAGGCAGGAGTCAGCACGGCAGGGTGTGGCCCCAAAACCAGGAAGAAAAAAATAATGGAGGGAGGGGACAAAGGTGATGTGTACCCACAAATTTACTTCGTTTTCATGAAATAGGACTTGTTTTGCTCATACTTAAAGGAGATTCTATTACTAAAGGAGCAAGAAATGATGCTGAATCATTTAAATGTATGCAGTTAGTAGCAGTTCTTGAAGTAACTTTGGTACCCTCAGGTTGTGCGAACTAGCTTGAAAACTGGTTTAGAATTTACCTAAAAGACAAGGTGTGCAGTGCCTTTTAAAAAAATTGACATTTGTAGAAAACATTGAAAAATGATGCAAATAGTTACTTTGTGGGATTTTTTTTTTTTAATTTTGGGCTACATCTGGAGATGCTGGGGCGGGGGGCGGGGTGTTACTCCTAGCTCTGCACTCAGGAATGCTCAGGGGTTACTCCTGGCTCTGCACCTGGCTGGTCTCAGGTGACCATGTGGGCTGCTGGGATTGAACCCTGGTTGGCCGCTCCTCTATCCTCCCTGCTTTACTAACACCCCTGCCCCTCAAATAGTTTCACTTTACAGTTACCCTAAACTTTACAAAATTTTCCAATTATCTTTGAAATTCTAGAAGCTTTTTCAGACTGGAGAAATAGTACAGTGGGTGGGGCGCTTGCTTTGCACATGGCCCACCTGGGTTCCATCCTTGGATCCCATATGATCTCCTGAGCACTGCCAGGAGTAATTCCTGAAGACTGCTGGGTATGACCCAGTCCCCCCCCCCCCAAAAAAAAATAGAAGCTTATTAAAAAATGACACTAGAGACTTTTTTTTTTAAAAAGGAAAATGAGTCATTTACAACAGTGGTTTACAACTTCATTGGTTTACAGCTTCTTTGCAAGTTAAAATAACCTGGGGCTTTTTTCTTTTTCTTTTTTTTGTTTTTTGGCTTTTTGGGTCACACACCCTGTGATGCACAGGGATTACTCCTGGCTTTACACCCTGGTGGTGCTCAGGGGACCATATGAGATGCTGGGAATCAAAGCTGAGTTGGCCATGTGCAAGGCAAACACCCTACCCGCTATACTGTCACTGCAGCCCCTTAAAGTTTTTACATTTAAAACATCCAAGTTTTATTTTACTTATTTATTTTTGGATCACACCCAGCGATGCTCAGAGGTTACTCCTGGCTCTGCACTCAGGAATTACTCCTGGCGATGCACGGATGGACCGCATGGGATGCCGGGGATCGAACCCGGGTCAGCCACATGCAAAGCAAATGCCCTCCCCACTGTGCTATCACCCCGGCCCCTAGGACTTTTTCTTCTTGGGTGTCTTTGGTAGATTCTGATTTAATTAATTCGAAGACCCCCCTCCCTCCCACACAGTTAAAAACAAGGATGCATATTAATATACAATCATCCTATAAGTATTTGCTTCTATTTGAATATTTGAATTATTTTGTTATCTTATGAAAAGTATTTTAATGTCAATATTAGGAAGTTGCTCTTCTGTACAGATTTATAAAAATGGCCCTTCTTGGGACTAGAGGGTACAGCAGGTAGGGCGCTTGGTTTGCGTATTATCGACCTGGGTTTAACACTTGGCAGCATACATGAGCATTGCTAAGAGTGATACTGAAGAGCCAGGAGTAAACCTTGGGCATTCCTGGTGTGCCCTGAACCCCCCCACCTCACTCTAGGCTCCTTATTGGCTTATATTTTGATTGGTTTGGATTTGGTTTTTGCTTTTTTTTTTTTTCCCTTTTTGGGTCACACCCAGCAATGCTTAGGAGATACTCCTGGCTTTGCACTCAGGAATTACTCCTGGCAGTGCTCGGGGGACCATATAGGATGCTGGGGATTGAACCCGGGTCAGCCTTGTGCAAGGCAAACGCCCTACCTGCTATGCTATCGCTCCAGCCCCTGGTTTTTAGTTTTGAGCCTCACCTGGTGGTGCTGGGGTGAATCCTGGAGGTGGTGTAGTGGGGGCACCTTACAAATGAGGCCTCCTGTGTACCCCGCCCACACTCGAGCCCTTTGAGTCATCTTCTGGGCCCTATATTTTGACTATTTAAACATCTAAATAAATTTTAGCAGCTAATATATATTACAAATTAGAAGATAAGTTTTGCTGGTATAATAGACGAATTCATGACATTATTATTATTATTATTATTATTAATTGTGGTTCTTGGAATGGGGTCCAGGCCTCAGACAGGGCAGGTAGATGCTCTGCCACTGAGATTCAGAACCACTATTTTTTTTTTCTTAAATTTTTATTAGTGGAACACCATGAGGTGCAGTTGTAGACTTATAAATTTTTGTGCTTGGGTTTCAGTTATACAATGATCGAATACCCATCCCTCCACCAGTGCCCATTCTCCACCACCATCAGCCCCAGTATCCCTCCCTCCCCCCATCCCCTCACCCCACCCTACCTCTGTGGCAGGGCATTCCCTTTTGTTATCTCTCCCGTTTGAGTGCTGTGGTTTGCAAAAGAGACATGGAATGTCAATCTTGTTTGGTCTATAGTCTACTCTCATCACGCATTTCCTATCCTGAGAGGAATCTCCCAACACCCTTTATTTGGTGCTCCCTTCTCTATCTGAGCTGCCTTTTCCCCTACCGTGTGCGGCTGTCCTCGAAGCCATGGAGTAATCCTCCTGGTACTTATCTCGACTATTCTTGGGTGTTAGTCTCTTATTTTGTTACTTTATGACGGAACCACTATTTTGGCAGGGATTGAACCTGGGTCTGTTGCATGCAGTGCAAATGTCTTGACTTCTGTACTGTCTCTGACTCCTTCCCCCAATATATTTGGACACCTGGTTGTCCACGGGGTTTACTCCTGGCTCTGCACTCAAAGATCACACCTGGGTGGTGCTCTGGGGGTGATATGGGATGCTGGGAATCAAACTTGGGTAGGACATGTATTAGTCAAGTGTCCCTCTACCCACTGTATTATTTCTCCATCCCCAAGCCCCTCCAATTCTTATTTTTGTTTCGTTTTTGGGGTCACACCTGGTGATGCTCAGGGGTTACTCCTGGCTCTGTGCTCAGGGATCTCTCCTGGTAGCTTAGGGGACCATATGCAATGCTGGGGATTGAGCCTGGGTTGGCCACGTACAAGGCAAATGCCCTACCTGCTGTACTATCTTTCTGGCTCTAAATTCTTTTTTTTTTTCTTTTTGGGTCACACCCGGCAATGCACAGGGGTTACTCCTGGCTCATGCACTCAGGAATTACTCCTGGTGGTGCTCGGGGGACCATATGGGATGCTGGGAGTCCAACCCAGGTCGGCCGCATGCAAGGCAAATGCCCTACCCGCTGTGCTATCGCTCCGGCCCTAAATTCTTAATTGATAAATAAAGTATGCTTTTGTTCAGTATTCTGTGTTGAAGTGCAAAGAATTTTTTTTTAAGGGGGCAGGGGGCTTTGAGTCATACCCAATGATGCTCAGGGTTTACTCCTGGCTCTGCACTTGGGACCATATAGGGTGACAGGGATCAAACCTGGTTTGGCCAGATGCAAGGCAAACAGCCTCTCGCCGTACTAACAGATGAATGGAGAAACTGACTAGCTTCTTTAGTTTTGTTTCTGATCCTAC